CGAGAGAAAACAAGATGCTTTGCAATCTCTTTGGGTTTTGATCTTTTGAGAAATTAAAAGCATATAAAGGAAAAAGGTTTGAAGAGTTAGCTATACAGAAAGCAAATGAGAAATGACTAAGCTACTAACATCTCTCTACCTAAAAAAACAAATGCTTTGGAGCTCATGTCATTGAGGAAGTGTCTTATTCGGATTTCGAAGAAGCAGAGTCTCTGTAGATGATCAATTTCATCAGCTTTAAGCTCCATGAGCTTCCTATTCAAGCCTGGAGAGCATCAGGTTCTTTGGTTAGTAGTCAGGTTCTTGGCTTCTTCGTCTTTGACACCTTCTTATGTGTATCAATCTTTCTCTAATTCATGAATTTCCTGCAGTTGGGGGATTTGCATAAACACGGCACTTTGAATTCCTCAGGCTCATCTGGATCAAACAGGTAATCATATCTGCCAAAACACTCAACCATGTCATATTCAGTGAATCAGAGGATGATACTTTAATTGTGTGAAGTGAAGGATATATGTATACGTTAACTCCTCGCCAGCAGCTAAGGTGGTCTTGGCAATCAGAACAATCCGACTTTCATCATCTCCTACACTCATAATCCTTGCATAGCAATTTGGCATACACTGCATCACAAAACACCAATTGAATTTTTAACTCAAGAATCTCTCTGTTGGTAATCACTCGATTTATATACATGATAGATTGCTTACCGAATGGTTTATCAGTCGAGCGATGTTCCCTTTTTCTGTAGCATCAACCACTACTTCCTCGCTGATCTTAAATAGCTGCAACAGATTTAAAACAAACATTAAGTTTCAGAAACCTATGCTCGAAACCATTTTAAGACTGTAGCAAGGGAGATATCGGTTTGGACTCACATAGCAGTCCTTCCCTTCCCTACGATATCGTGATTCCCTTAAGTCTGCAATGATTCCTCTCACTTGTTCCCCGCGGTATTCAAGAACCTGAAAAGAAAATTCATTTCAAAATTCCTCAACACTACAAAGGATTTCCTTCTTCGAAGAAGTATTTTCAGGTGGCTCTGCCTACCATTTCTCCTTCTTGAATATTTCTTCTGGCGAAAAGGCCCCATCCATGTATCCCAGATCGACCAAAGCAGACCCGATCCATTTCTGTCCTCTGTCACAAGACATGAAGCGTGTAAGATATTGATAAACAAGAATCTCTTACAAACAAATGGGAAATGCTTACTTGCAAGTGATGAAGCCGTTCTCTGAACGAGGAAAAAGATTTCGGCTCTTCCGCCACATGCTACACATTATATTTAACAAAAAGACTCAGTGCCAAGTTTCGATTCCTTGTGCATTATACTTATTAGCATTACAGAAAGATTCTCACCCTGAATGCGTTCAGAGTTTGGATCGCTGCTGAAGGATGATGACGTGGGCCTCCTCTGTGATGAGGAATAGCTTCTTCTTCAGTCCTCTAGAAAACCCAAACACCCATGTAATGGATTAGTCTACTGAACAAAGGGGATTTGAACCTATATACAGATTTTTTACAGAATCAACAAAGATACCTTCTTGCTATTAACCTTTCTTTTAAATATCCGACAACGAGCAGAAGAAAATGGATCAACTGGTGTGATATCCTCTGCGGGGGACTCTTCAACTTCTTCTCTATTTGCTAAAATAAGTCTCGAACCCGTTCTCTTCTTGTTTTGAACAAGACTTTTAGCAGAGAAGACCCCTGAAGGCGTTTGTATAATCAACACAGTATCTGGATTCGGAGCCCTACACCCAAAACAACAAAAACAAAGTTCATATCCCGAAATCAGATAGCAAAGATTTTGCAAACAGCGTATTGAGAAAATTTACCTGTGATAGGAACAATACGACACCATCTTTGTTATCTGTCGACCATTTTTCTCCAAGCAGTGCAACTACATTCAAATTGTGCATATATTATCAAAGACACTTGTAATGTCTTAGAGATGTAAACTTTCTTTACCAAATACAAAATGTTACAGCAATTTTATTCCGTAGTGCTCAAACGCGGAGTCAGATATAATCAAAAGCTTCTTATGGAACACGGAAAGATCAGAAATAAAATGGCTTACCTCCATTCTATACCCAGCTCGGGAAGCACACATGGCATGATAATACGTAGAACACTTGCAACACTGGGTGCATGAGCCATGTATTTGCTTGCATATTACACAAATCTGAATTATCAAAAACAGGAGAATGTTTCTTGCGTTTTAGTTTTGCACATAGTGAAACTTTCCAAAAGAATAGGAACACGTTATCGTGGGAGCCAATCAAATGAAAGCAACAAGACGAAAATGAGGCCCACAGAATTAGGTGTGTACCTTCACAAAATTACTTGATGGTATACTCAAAATCCCCAAAGCTGGTTCCATTTTCTCGTCACTTGCAAAACATACTTCAGGCTGAAACCAAGCACATGTCACGTGAACCCACAATGTCTCCACATCAGTTGGCTTCAATGCACCTCCTATTAATCAGTAAACAAAAATTGGCAAAATTTAATTGACGGGCAACAATGCCAAATTCTCGAAGGAGACTAGCTAACTATTCTCTATTAAACCACCTTTTAACGGTTGCTGAAGTTGTGACATTTAAAAAGGACAAGACTATGTTAAACATGATTCACAGATAAGAAAGGCAAAAATGAAAAGACATACCTTTTACAGGACAAAGGCAACACTCCCGTTTGATCTCAGGTGTCTCGCAGGCTTTGCAGACCCATGATGTGAACTCACGAACGTTTCTTGCCCCATAGCATTCCTGATGAACTGCTATTTGACATCTGAGGAGAAAAATGAACAAAAGGCATAATTATGATACTAGATTAAGGTTTATAAGTCTGATATTTGCCAGTAAATATGTTAAGGAAAATAACATTGTTTCTCTCTGACTAGTATGAGTAACAACAGTAAACAAAATCAGCTATTTTATCTACAGAAAATAGCCAAAACTTGATAGAAGAAAGTGAAACGGTCAAATAAAGCATTCAGAAGGTTTATTGAAGTACGAAATAAAGCTTTTTGCCCAGAATCTATATCTTCTCGAAAAAGAAGAGAGCAAAGACGTAGCAAAACAGCACCTGTTGCAGATAATGATCTTGTTGTAGTCCCAATCTTCAACCCATCTGCAAACTGCACATCGCTCTGTTGTCCACTTCACATTGACCGGCTCATACTTCTCTGCCAATAGTGAAAGAACAAGCCAACATAAGCAACACAAAACGCAACTAAAGCGATTCAATAGGTTATCATGTTTTTTAGTGTACCTCTCAGAAAGGAAAGCAACCTCTGCTTTCTCTGTTTCACAGAAGGTTTTTTAGGAGGTTTGCCTGCAGTATTATTTGCGTGGAACTCTGCTAATTTCATCATCTGACGAGTAAAGGAATATGGCAGTTAGACTTTCTGTAATCGATATGACAAATTAAAAAATAAAGAGATCATATCACTAAAGTGAAAATAAGAAGATTTCTACAAACCCATTCTTCTAGAGGCAGTTTGGAGCTTTTTACTTTCACACTAGTCCTCCAATTTTTTGCTTTTGAACCAGTATGCCTTTCCCATTCACTAAGTGCTTTCCTTTCAGGTCCACAAGATCCACACTTACATACGACTCTGTAAATAAACCAAATGGAGTAAGAATACTCTGTAATTCATTCAACATAGATACCTAAAAGTCTGGAAGAGTTAGATGTAAAAAGGTCATTGCTTCGCCCAATTCTAGAGTAAATTACGAGGCAGTAAAACTTTAAAAGGGAAAACAGTGTGAAATAGAGATCACACGATGTCCGCTTACAAATGAAGGCTTGGAAAATATATGCCTTCAACTCCAGAGCATACAACAATAACCTTGTCAGGAAGCTCCATCGGGGCATTGTTTTTGCCAAGTCTATACCAGAAAACTCTCAACTTTAGAATCTGGTATTCACAATTCAATTGTTGTAAGAATAAACAATTACAGTTGGAAGAAAATGGACATACTTGGATTTTGAGCCTTGCTTTTCTGAATCTGATAGCTCAAAGTTAAATTTTGCTCTGCACGTGGGACAATAATAATCTGCTTCCCCCAAATCCTTCAGGTTGCCAAACGAAATTGATATCAATACATGCAAGTAACTGGAAACAAGATAACCTTAAAATGAACATGTACCTTAAAATGCTTATGTGATATTTGATCACATACTGCGTGAATCCAGACTTTACAACCATCACACCGCACCTGATTCACCATATGTAATCAAATGGTAAAATTGCAAGAAAACATTACCTGATTCTACACTACAAAAAAACAAGAAGATAATTTGTATGTCTTTTTACCCATCTCTGACTATCTGAATGATTCCATATCTTTGTGCATATACCACAAACATGTTTTGGTTTTGTCAACTGCAAGGATAATTAGTTGAGTTCATTGCATTGAAATTGAGAAAGCAGGAGCATAGCAAAAAAAATTAACGTACCCTTGAACAAGGTTTACACAATAATTGATCTCCGGGAATCAGAGCTTTCATTTTCTTTGCCATCTTAAAAGAAAGGATCATTCCACATCCTACACAAGCTCTTGGATTTCTGTATTTCTTCAACATGTTCTGCATATATATAAACTCAATCTCTATAACCATCAAGGAATAAACTATAGATGCTCAAAAAGGAACCCAAAGCAAAGAGAAAATTGCCTGGCTTGGAGCAACGTGATCAAGATATTGGCTCGATCCTGCAGTTTCTTGAATCCATCTGTAGACAGAATCATCAAAAGTTTGGTTACCAGCGGCCATGTGAATATCCTGCATCAGTTTCTCTGTGAATCCTTGGTCTGCCAAAAGAGCTTCTTCAAGTGCCATCTGGAAATCCCCTGGATTGCATCCACGCAATTCAGACTGTTCTTGAAACCTAGAAATAACGACTAACTATTAAGCAATATATCCACATAAAAAGTTTTAAAAAAAAAATATTCTGTAAGATTCTAGTGATGACCAACCTGTCTACATAATCCACAAAAGGGAAAATCATCCCTCTTTTAACCCACGCATAATCCTGCTTGCATAATCAAGTTAAAAACAGTTAAACCTCAAAAAAATAAATACAGCTTTTAGAATCATAGAAGAAGACAATATATGTACCCTTTCATTCTCTGTCCCAGAGTGACCAAAAAACATGACACATGCTGCATCCGGTATACAAGAACGCAAAACAAGCTCGGGAGCTTGCGTCATTGGATCGATAACAATAGCGGGCCAAAACGGCTCCTTCTTCCCAGATTTACCCCAAACCAAATCACCCGAATAAAAGTCCTCTGGCCCATAAACACCTTCTTTCTTGGGACAATTCTCATCTTCGATAATATAACGTTGCTCCTCAATAGTAGCGAGTGTAGCTCGTGAACTCATCATATGCTTCTTCATGTCACTATATCTTACAATCTCTTCACACTTATCTCTCTCTTCACACAATGCACTACTATACTTATAGTTCCTAGCATTGGCTTTACCTTCCTGTTTCAAACTATGATAATTACTTGCTTTGACT